ACATACATATATACATAGATTCATACACACACACACACACACATATATATATATATATATACATATATAGAAATATATATGTGTATACAAATACATATATATATATATATATATACTATATTTATAAACTTACTCATATATACATGTGTATATTATTTAGAATTTGCTTTGGTTCACCAATGGTTGACTTGTATAGCAACAACACATTGTCTGTCGCGTACAACATACAACATATCGATATCATGTGTCTGAGTTTAAGCCTGCTCATATTCTAGTATATTATTAACTGTATCAAATGCCCGGGGTGTCATCTATCTTGGACGCAAGCGTTATTCAGACACGCATGATATTCACAGGCATAAACCTACGCCCAATGCAGCTACTAAATTCGGTAGTAGGTGCGTGATATGGTGCACGCTGAGTTGTGCACTCCGGTTTAAGTGGCCCTTCGAGCATGCACTGGGATCACAACAGACTACACATACATATTAGGTGACAGGTATGCCAGTAATAGACACAGATAACATAGTCCAAAACGAGGTACGGCATAGTGTTCACGTGTAATGACCTATACTCCACCTACGTATATCGATAATTGAATTGAATTTAAAAGGGTATATAGAGTCGTGCAATTTTATGTCACAATTACAGACACACGAGACGACCACATATAGTCATTTACCTCCTAGATCATACGACAATCACACATGGTCTTTCATGCACAGACTCGACATAGTCTTAAATTTAACATATACAGACGTGTACAGCGACCACACTCGATGTCTTATTTATATACAAACACATGCGATAGTCACGTACATCAATACCCCGTTGCCACGAGTGACCAAAGCCGTGCCATGTTCTCTTTGTGGATCTTGGGCCTGGTCTATATCTTCTCAAACATATCTGGTTATATACAAACACATGCGACAATCATAGGCGATTCTACTCTCTGCACATACATATGTCACAATCACACATTGATATGCTTATCAACATAGTACAGTTAACATACATGGATATCCCGTTCTTGGTTGACCAGTGCTCTGAGCTGTGATTTGTACTCCTTGTAGTTCTTGAGCATGGTCTGATTCTCTTCAAACAAATCGGTGCCCTCGCGCCGAATCTTCTCCACCGCTTGAAGCACTGCTGCCTTCTGTTGCGATAGCTGTCATAGGGCATTGATATGTGCAAATGCGAACAGTAAGTGTGTGCACTACAGGTTTACATGCAGTGTGTTTATATGACAATACCAATATGTCCCCTGCCGGGCTATTCCGTGTACATAGCTTGTTTACTTCATACTTTATTAAGAAAGTTCATAATATGATTGGTATGCTTGTGTTTATATTTTAGTATATTTGGATCAATTGAACACATACCTTCTGTGCTCATATCTTCGTATCAAATTCTCACCACAAGTACTGCCCTATTTACTTTTTCAAGGGACAGGTGCGCAAGTGCGCGCATGATATATATTGTCAGTGTAAACACGTACTACTCACACTAAAGAGTTCTGCATTGGATGCACTACATCGTATAGCGCACTGCGGCGATTGCTAGTGACAATTACGGGTCAATATATATATATATATATATATATATATATGTATGTATAATACCATTGTTATAGGTAAACATGACTCTCTTGCGTGTATATCTGTACATGCAACAAGAAACCTATCCAAGCATATAACTTCTCATGATGATATATAAAATCTTACCAAGCATACCCTTTCTTATAAACATGCAACAAGAACCATGTACATCCACCTAAGACCAAACATATAAAAACAACCCATGCGCACCTCGTCGTTGTGTGCCTTCTTGGTGGATATCGTCTGCTTGAGCTTAGGGATGGCCTTTGTGGCCTCCTGCAGATTCGCATTGATTTGTTTGTAGTTGTTGTGTGCGTCTACTACCTTCGACCACGCCCATCGGTTGGTCAGCGTAATCAGTTCGGTCTGTGCCTTCCTTAGCACTGTAATGGACTAGAACAGACAACATACGAGCTATTAGTAGGCTTGTGTGTATACCAAGTGGATCCAATAGATGGTGTGTTATGTCAGCTAAGGTATGGCCTTTCAAACTACGACCATATACAGGCGAATCAGTGGAATAGTCCTAATTCAAAACTAAGTATTAGAACCGCTTTTCATATTGACATACTAACTTACACGCTTATGTATCGTGAAGAAATATCTATAACCTCTATTCAATCGTAAACACATACATAAAAATACACATGTCAATTGATTGGTAATTATATCCACAGACTTGTATATGTACTAGTGTATATGTATCCGTATATGTTTATGATTATGTAAATGTACATGTATATCCATGTGTATGTATCTGTGTCTGTATCGGTACATATATATATGTATCTGTAGTTAAATATGCATACGTTTCTGTATCGTTAACTGTGTATGTATCTGTATCCGAATCTGTGTCTACATCTGTATCTGTATCTGTAGCTGTATCTAGGTCTGTATTTGTATCTATAGCTGTACTTGTATCTGTGACTTTCTCTGTATATGTATATAAACATGGATATGTAAATGCGAATTCAAAAGAAATATATTTATCTCTAAATGTATACATATGTGTATGTATATATGTATACATTTGCGTTGGTGTATATATATATAAATAAGTGCATATATATAAATATATATACGTGTGTGTGTGTGTGTGTGTGAAAATGGATATAAATACCTATATTTGTGTTATAAATTTGTATAAACGTGTGCAAACATGTTTATGTATGTTTATAGAAGTGTACTAATCGCAATATAATGAATAATACTAAATTA